GAGACAGACAGACAGACAGAGACAGACAGAGAGACAGAGACAGAGAGAGAGGGGGGGGAGGAATGAGTGGGAGAGTGGGGTGGGGGGAAGATACAAGAGATACAGGCCTAGAATATTTATAAATCTGGCATGAGGGAAACAAAGGAAGGGAGGGGAATTGCTTCTTTCATCAGCTATCATTAGGTATACTGATACCTTTCACTTAACACTGGAATACTTCCAGCAATTACTGGAGTTCCTTACACATAGGACTGGAGTGATTTCTTAATGGGAAATAACATTCCAGCAGTCAAACTATGGTATGGGTGGGGCTTGAACTCACTTGCCATGAATTCAAGCCCCACCCATATTGTGGTTTGTTTGTAATCGTGTTATTACGATTTCGTGAGCCATTCCAGTAGTACCAGAATTTTCTAAGACAATTTTCTCCTGATGCAATCCACAAAAATTAGCTAATATATGGATACCCAGTTTTACTGCTAGGTAGACAGGGGCAACAAAGATGTAAAGAAAGTTGTTCATATGTAGGCAGGGGAATGGAGACAAGGAAAAGAGGGAGGGGGAGGAAAGGGAGATAAAGGAGGTAGAGAGGGTAAGGGAAAAAAAGATGAAAAGGAAAGGTGATAGAGAGAGAAGGAGAAGAGATGAAAAGATCATTGTTCCCAGGAAAAGCATTAAATCAATGGAAGTTAAACAGCTGGGGAAACAGGAGGCAATCAGGTTCAATCTAAGGGGATAACACAGAATTTTCTCCTCCTGCCCTTCACTCCCTCTAATCATAATGCCAGCTCTAACAAATTGGGGAAGAAAGATTACAATTAAGTACACTATAAGGGCTATTTAATGGGAAAGGTGAAAGAAGAGTTTAAATTTCTGCTACAATATCATGACTAATACTAGTCTGTGGTTCATAGCCAACTGAGAAAAAAAATTATCATTAACCCTCAAAGTGTCGCTCACATACCAGTACAGTATATCCTAAAATTGAATATTGGTGATGTACCTGCATGCATAAATCACAGCATCTCCAGATCTGCTGTAAGCAGAAAATTCAGACCTAGATATGAGAGAATAGGTCTGCACACTGAGTGTATACCTGGAGTATACCCGGAGAGAGTTCCGGAGGTCAATGCCCCCACGGCCTGGTCTGTGACCAGGCCTCATGGTGGACCAGGGCCTGATCAACCAGGCTGTTACTGCTAACTCCATGCAGTCAGCGTACAACCCACAGCCCGGCTGGTCAGGTTCTGACTCTAGGTGCCTGCTTGAAGACAGCCAGAGGTGTATTGGTAATCCCCCTTAAGTGTGCTGGGAGGCAGATGAACAGTCTTGGTCCCCTCACACTTATTGTGTTGTCTCTTATCGTGCTAGTGGCACCCCTGCTTTCCATTGGGGGGACGTTGCATCATCTGCCGAGTCTTTTGCTTTCGTAGGGAGTGATTTTAGTGTGCAAGTTTGGTACTAATCCCTCTAGGATTTTACAAGTGTATATAATCATGTATCTCTCCCGCCTGCGTTCTAAGGAGTACAGGTTTAGGAACTTCAAACGTTCCCAGTAATTGAGGTGCTTTATCGCAGTTATGCATGCCACAACATATAAAAAAATCCTTCCTCAGGCAGAGTATGATGGGGGAACAGCTACCCTCTCAGCTTTTGGTAACCATGGCTTGCAGATGTGAATTTCTCACTCCCACCACAATTAACCATATATTGCTAACAACTAAGGGTGCTAACGGTGAGGATTGTGATTCTCATGTGGAGTTTTACGGGTATGAGTTGAAACTGAATGAAGATGACACCATGAATGCCCATAATACTGCTTCAAGCCAGCCAACTCACAGGTTACAGCTCCAGCCCAATGAATTCCATCTTGGGTGAAGCCTGGCTATCACAATCACAACTTAGAAATAATTTATCTTAAAGAAAATAAAGGCTCAGAAAAGACGTGTGTGCTCACACCATGAGAAGGCCTTGACAACACAAAGATACAAGATATATCTAGTCCTTGTGACACCACTGTCCCTTATTCTGTTTCAAGGTATTTCACATGCTGCACAATTCCAATAGCATATACATTAATACATCTTTATTGAGTTTCAGGAGTTTTTCTACTCCCAGAGCCTGGCCCTGGGCCAGGCTTGTCTGGTGCTTGTCTGTAGTTGCTGGTGGCCCACATCCATCACAGCCTGGTTGATCTGGCACTTGGATTATTATTATTATAATCAAAAAAGAAGCGCTAAGCCACAAGGACTATACAGCTCTGGCACTTGGAGATACCTGTCCAACTTCCTCTTGAAGAATTCTATACTTGTCCCAGCAGTGTTTCTGATATCTTTTGGCAAAATGTTGAATAGTCTGGGATCACAGATGTTGATATATTTTCTTATTGTGCCTAAGGCATCCGTGCTTTTCACTAGGTTTATTGAACACCCTCCTTCTATCACACTTACTCCAGCATGTTGTTATGGAAGTGTGCAGATTTGGGATTAGGCCCTCAAGTACTTTCTACATACATATTACCATGTATCACTGTGTACATGTTTAGATGTTCTTAGCAATTTATATACTTTATTGGCTCCATGAAGGCTGTAAGGTGGAGAATTCTTATTATATTCACAAAAGAAAAAAAAAACTAAATCTATGTAATTCAGCACATCAAGAAATGAGAAGAAAAGTGTAAGGTACATTTGCTAACCTACTGGCAGTAGACCTGCTTATGTTGTCTCATCTTTCATTATAAATTTAATGTTAAAGATCTTAAAATTACCAGTGGTTTTTGGCACATACTATATCTCTGATTTCATTTCAACAATCAGCCACTGTATTTATAAAGAAATTTTTCCCATTACCTCTTCTGTTGTATATGCAATAGCTTATGTAATAATAATATAATCAAATGAAGCACTAAACCCAAAATCATTACAAAGCAATAACTTGTATAATATTGCCTATTTGTATACCTGGAGAGGGTTTTGGGGGTCAATGCCCCTGCAGCCCAGTCTGTGACCAGGCCCCATGATGGATCAGGGCCTGATCAACCAGGCTGTTACTGCTGGTCGCATGCAACCCGACGTACAAACCACAGCCCGGCTGGTCAGGTGCCTGTCCAGTGCTTTCTTGAAGACAGCCAGGTGTCTGTTGGTGATCCCCCTTATGTATGCTGGGAGGCGGTTGAACAGTCTTGGGCCCGACACTTGTGTTGTCTCTCGTCGTACTAGTGGCACCCCTGCTTTTCATTGGGGGGGATGCTGCGTTATCTGCCGAGTCTTTTGCTATCACAGAGACTGACTTTCGTGTGCAAGTTTGGTACTAATCCATCTAGGATTTTCCAAGTGTATATTATCATGTATCTCTCCCACCTGCATTCTAGGGAGTATAAGTTGAGGAACTTCAAGCATTCCCAGTAACTGAGGTATTTTATCGCAGTTGTGTGCTGTGAAGGTTCTCTGTACACTTTCTAGATCAGCATATTCACCTGCCTTGAAAGGTGCTGTTCGTGTGCAGCAATTTCCCAGCCTAGATAGAACAAGTGACCTGAAGAGTGTTATCAGTGCTTGGCATCCCTGAGTTTGAAGGTTTTCATTATCCATCTGTCATATTATTTCTAGCAGAAGTGTTTGATACAACGTTATGGTCTTTGAAGCGGAGAAATCCTTGACATGATCACTCCAACGTCTTTTACATTAGTTTCCCTTAGTTGTAGCTAGAGGAGCAGAACCATACTAATGGTGTTGTGTGTTTAGTAACACAACATAACATTTTGAATATTCTAATTGTTGTAGAATATATGCACCATCTTATCCTGGATTACATTCCAGTAATTTACCACTATTTACAAAGAAATATGTTCTAGCATCACTTTTCAGTTGTGTATGCACACATGCTGTTATCTACCTGTGGCTTCAGATGTATAGCTAAACTAAAGGTGTAGATTTTTAGTAAAAAATTATCAGTTACTTTTAAATTGCACACCTGTAGCTCGATTGCTAATGCACTGTGGTCCAGGGATCGATCCTTAGGAATGGCTGGAAAACATTAGGATGTGTTTCAATAAGTCACCTGCTGTCCAATGTTCACCCACCAGTAAAATGGGTACCTGGGTGTTAGTCGACTGGTGTGGGTCGCTCCCAGGACAAAATTGATCTAATTTGTCTGAAATGCTCTGCATAACATGGGGCTTTCTATATAGTAGTATGTCACTGATGTCAGATAGGCCTGTATACCTTGTACATGTATGTACTTGTAGAAATAAAGAACATTATATTAATAGTCATCACACTTGCAACTATGTACCAGTGCTCATTAGGTCGTGGAACAATTCACAACTCAAAAAGCTAGAGTAACTAAGTGAACAGCACATATCTGCCCAGGACCATTATCAGATTACTTATTTTTGAGTACAGGAAGAACTACAATCATGGTGTCTGGTCTTCAATGATTATTACGTACCAGCATTATGTTCATGGGTAGGGAAGTGCTAAACCTATCGGGGTCATACAGCACCTGGAGGAATGGGAAGTAATCAGGTTGTTTAAGGGAAGGGAGGAGGATAGGTCCAATTAATTGGATCACAAGCCACTTATCAGCATCAATATACCTCCTCTGAGGGGTCTTCAATGATTGGTTTTTCATATCTGAGCAATATTCAAGTAGCTATAATATTTATTACCTCTCTTATCTTATTCCACCACTATTTATGGATTATTATTATTATTATAATCAAAAAGAAGCGCTAAGCCACAAGGGCTATACAGCGCTACTATTTACTGAAAAATAATTTCTGGTGCTCTTTTGGCATCACTTTATTTTTTCTGTTTACAATTGTAGCCTCTTGATGTCTCAGCGATGATAGTAAAATTCTTTCATATCTCGTTTTTGTTTTTGATCTGGTAACTATTCTGTACATATTTTTTTAAGCATTGTACATTTTTATATAACAGTATCTATTTTGTTTTATGTATACAACATTGCACTGTGGCACAGTCCAATTATACCCAAACTTAGTTTGTATACATATTTATTTAACATTTCAATATCCATATACGTATATGAATGCTATTTTGAAGTTTGCAAACATAGCACGTCTTACAATTACATTTTAGTAATCCTCTGGTGAATATCTTGTTAACAATTGCTCCTTCATCCCTTTCTCCACCTGACACTATTTTTTTTTTTTTTTTGTATTTAATGCTGATATTTCACATAAGAGCTTTACCAAACTTAATGTTGCTGGACAAGAAACAATACTAGTGACTGATAAAGTGTATTACCATGGGCATACACCTTATGTTCTTTGGCAATAGTAAATCCTATAATTTTTAAAGTTTAATGGCAATATTTTGCTTTATAGTCTAACAAGACATGATTTTACTTGATAAGAACACCAGAAACTGGCAAGTACTATTTTTAACTTCATTTGCACTGTCATAGTATTTTGTCTTGGAATTTTTGTTATATTTTCACAGGCAGTAAGGTTGGATGGATCACAAGTTTAGAATGCCTACATCCCTCTGGTGTTCAACTGTACTGTACTATATTTTGTAACAATCTATATTCCTTGTGTGACCTGTTTATGATTCTTCCATTTTTTCTTTAGAAATATTTTTCACATTAAATTTCATCATCCATTTGCACAGAATTTCTCATCTGCAAACATGTTCATTCAATAAATCAGCAATGCTGGAGGAGTCAGTGCTGATCCTTGTGGGATTCTGCTAGTAAAATTTCCCCACATGGAAATTTTTAATATTTGGCATTCTCATTTTTTTCAGATCAGTAGAATCTCAAATCTTTTGGTAGTTTGCTTTGCATTCCTCTTTTATTCTATAATTTCTATATTGGACTATCATGGGGCTTATTAAAAGCCTTCTGAAATAGAAATAAATTCAGTCTGCCCATGTATGAGTTCCATCAAAGAGCTTTCTGATCTCAAACCAAACTGTTTGGAGGTTAGTAGGTTTTTGCTATCTAATGTTTTATCTACTTTTCTCCAGTAGCTTTGTCCAAAATTTCCTGGAAGGTTAGTAGGTTTTTGCTGTCTAATGTTTTATCTACTTTTCTCCAGTAGCTTTGCCCAAAATTTCCTGTGCATGTGTACTCGTCATTTTGTGTGTATGGGGGTCGAGTCTCACTTCCTAACTTCCCCTACTGCACTATTTTAAATAACATTTCTGGTTTCTGGCCTCTTTGGATTGTACCTATTTTTCGAAATGTTTTGCACTATGGTAAGTATTGATCTTTTTCCTCTTATAAATATGTAAGCCAGATAAGTTTTATAAACTTCTATTTACAATCAGTATATATTGGGATTTACTTTCCAGCTTCTTTATGTAATTTATTCCTCTTAACATTTTCTTTTAAGTTTATGAGGGCTGGTCTAACATCAAGATACAAGGGGTGGTGATCCTAAAAACCAAATGCAACCAAAGCATTCAGTTCTTTTACCACCATGTTGGTGTGTTTGTGTATGTGCATGCATGTGTATGTGGAGGGAAAAAGGCCAACTCTATTTGGGTATACTGGAGCCTGGTATTAACCCTTTGACTGTTTTGGTTGTATATATACGTCTTACGCGCCACTGTTTTGGACGTGTTAATACGTGTAAATTCTAGCGGCTTCAAATCAAGCAGGAGAAAGCTGGAAGGCTCACATGTGAGAGAATGGGTATGTGTGGTCAGTGTGCACCACATAAAAAAAATCCTGCAGCATGCAGTGCATGAGAAAAAAAAAAACACCATTTTTTGGATTAAAATGCCGAATTTGAGGTGTATTTTCGTATAGTATTTATCGTTGTATTCTCATTTTCATGGTCTCACTTGATAAGATGGAAAACATATTACAGAAATAGAGATGATTTTGATTAGTTTCACAATGAAAACGACCTTGAAATTGAGCTCAAAGTAGCAGAAATGTTCAATTTTTACCAATGTTCAGGAGTGAGCAAATCACACCACACGTTCAATACATGTCAACTGGGGAGTCTAATATTCTTTCTCTAGTGCACTGATATTATTTATACCATTTTTATAATAATGCATTAGTCTGCATAACAGTAAATTTTGTATTTTTTGTATGAATAAAAAATCAAAATAGAAAGCAATAGTAATATAAGAGGGGCCTAGAGACGTGACTAATGAACAGAGGGTATGTTATTTTAGTGCCAAGAATCTTTACATTGTTTATTCTGGACCCTATTTTGAAATTGGAATCTTTTTTAATTTGGGTAGTTCAAATTGGTAAATGGGCAGTTTCTTGTACTCAACTGATATAAAAAAAATGGAGTTCTAAAGAAATAGCTATGAGTTTGGTCAACTGGAACAAAGGAATTGGCTAAAAACAGGGCTCAAAGTCGGCGAAATCGCCGATGCGTATATGTCGCCGAGACCGCTAACTTCACGGGAGCGTAATTCCGCGAGTTTTCGACCAAATTTCATACTTTTGATGTTATTACCATCGGGAAAAGATTCTCTATCATTTCTTAAGAAAAAATTTTTTTTTCCCAAAAATTTTGCGACATAGAATGACAGTTTCAGAAAGGGGCTTGCGACAGTCAAAGGGTTAAGTTAACTTATGTGAGGTATCATAGATTTCCAAATATGCATCAGTATCTCTACTGATTATCCACTTGCCAAAATCATATTACAAATAACAAATTATATTATAGTCATAAAAGAGTAAAATGTTAAAACAAAATTATATAATTACTCTTATTCATTCTTTTTGTGAAACATTATGACTGCCCATGAATTCAGTGCTTTGGTGATGAATAAGATAAAACTTTTTGTATCTTCAAATATACATTATTCCTTTCATCTCATCACTTGATGTAGGAACACAGTTCTTATTTATGGCCTTAAAATTAAAATAAATTTAACTTATAGAGCTGCTGCTCATAGTTATAAAACTATTTGCAATCATATATATATATTGTCTTCTTAGGCTTGCAAGTGTTAGTTTCAAAAGTTTATAGTTAGATAGTAATAATTTAGAAATGCATATTAGCTATATTTATGTCTCAAACCACTATAATAAATCTAATCGAGACATTCATAGCTTCTACCACATATAATGTGGACTTACAAATGCAAAAAAATACCCCTGTGAGTATGGTTACAAAATATAAACTGTATATCCACACACAGCATTATGAATGTTCTAGCATTTTAAATTTCAGTGTGGCAAGTCATTCACAGGTTTCAAAAGACTTGCTCACAGAACACATTTCTGCTCACCTCTTGTCTTCGAAAATAGTTCAACCTACAGTTATATAGACTTCACTAGAACTGATGTGATTCAGATGAGTAACCAATTTATCCATATTAGCTTTTACATTGTGTATCATTATATAAAATTATTTTTTAAACAAGAATATACTATGGTCTGGTGTACTGAGTAGTCACAGTTTGGTTAATGATGGGAACTTGTGTGGTAAGAGCTGGGCTGGAGAGATCTACCACATATGGCTGTCCTGACCCATAAATCACCTGGGAACTTTCACTTGTACCATGAACACTCTCCTTAGGTGCAGACACAGCAGGCACTTGATGGGCTGAAACAACTAAGCCCTGTTGGTGAGCTGCTACAACTGGAACAGGCTGATGGGCAGAAACAACAATCTGCTGATGGGCACTTACAGACTGTTGATGAGCAGTAACAACAGGTAACTGAAGAGGGTTGCCAATTACTTGTTGATGAGCAGATACTACTGGCAATTGGTGATGGGCATTCACTGTTTGTGGGTGAGCAGTAACTGTTAGCTGCTGGTGGGCACTAACTGTTTGCTGATGTGCAGTTACTGCTGGTAATGGATGACCACTAACAACTTGCTTATGAGAAGTCACAGCCGTTACTTGTTGATGTGCTGTTACAGCTGGCAACTGCTTATGAGCTGTCACAGCTGGCAGCTGTGCATGTGCTGTTACAGTCTGCAATTGCTTATGTGCTGTCACAGTTTGCATCTGCTGATGTGCTGACACAACTGGCATTTGCTGATGTGCTGACACAACTGGCATTTGTTGATGTGCTGACACAGCTGGCATTTGATGTGCTGCAACAGTTGCTAACTGCTGGTGTGCAGAAACAGCTTGATGAGCAGTGATAACTGGTAGATGCTGATGGCTAGCTGATACTGATGGCAAAGGATGATGAGCAGAAACCATGGTTAGTGTTTGATGAACAGAGTCAACCTGTTGCTGGTCATCCTGATGTAAATGCTGACCTGAAAGATCTATTACTCCAATCTGCTGCTGGTTTTGTTCTGATAAACCATGGAGTGCATGTACTGCTGATGATGCTGACTGAATCAGTAAAGTTTGTGGGTGAGTATGGTCCAGACCATCTCCATGCCCTAGATTCTCTAGCATCACTTGTACCATAGGAACCATAGGAAGCTGAGTGATGTGATTGTCTGATACCAGTCCTTCATGTTTCAAATGACATGCTTCATTTAATTGTATTTGCACATGTTCCTGCTGCTGTTGCTGCTGATCATACAGTTCTAATTTATCAACCTCCTGTAGCTCCTCCTCTTCCTGTTTTAACTGTGCATTTCTCATTGCTCGTGTTCTAGACCGAGAAACTCTGTCAGTTGGAGCGGCTGGCCGTTTGTTCTTTCGTTTTTTTGGCTTTTTCCATGGAGGTTCTTCTCCATCTAGCCTCGGGTATTTGCGAGGCCTTCCTTTGGGCCGCTTAGGTCTTGGGCCTTTACAACGTATCTGATGTTTATTTAAAAATGTAGGTGTTCGAAAACATCTTTCACACTGTTCACATTTGAAGGGTTTAGAACCCAAGTGGTGTGTTTTGCGATGTGCCTTAAGCTCTCGAGCAGATATGAATGCCGTATCACATTCCCGGCAATTAAAGGGTTTCTCTCCCGTGTGATGCCGAACATGAACTCTGAGTTCAACACTTTGACCAAATGCTTCTCCGCAGCATTGGCAAATATATGGTTTTTCTCCAGTGTGGCGTCGCACATGATTTCTTAAATGTGATGAAGTAAAAAAAGCTTCTCCACAGATACCACAGATATATGGTCTTTCTCCTGTATGAGTGCGTTTGTGACCTACTAGATGAGAAGACCTTGAAAATGTCTGACTGCATTCAGAGCACTGGTAAGGACGCTCACCTGTGTGTACACGGGCATGTGCCTTTAAATTAGAACTCTGAATGAATGATTTCCCACATTCTACACAAACGTAAGGTCTAACACCAGAATGGATGCGCATATGACTTCGAAGGTTAGAACTGTTCGTAAACGAAGAACCACATCTTCCACAATGAAAATTTCGTTCTTGATTATCAGAAGAAGGTCTTTTTGATTTTTTTGATTTTTGTGGAACCATAGTAACAATAGCTACATGATCTTGCGGTATGGGTGTCTGAACAGGAGTGGGAGCAGGTGTTGGTGTCTGAGATGGTGCAGCAACCATCTGAACTGTGGGCACAGCCACTTGCACTTGAACTGGATGGTTAACAAGAAGGTCGCTATAATTACTATAGTTATACCAAACAGTGGGTTGAATTGTTGCCTGAGATATAGACTGTCCTCCTAGTGGATCCATGGCTGCTGTCCTTTTTTAACTGATTGGTTTTTAAAGATGCTTTCTGATATATCTTCGTATCACCATGAATCTAGAAAAAATGGAGAGTAAAAATCAGTAACATGCATTGATCTGAGGCAAAAAACTTCCACTGCCTCCAACCTTTTCTTGCCGTTATATTTAAGAAACATGCCTCACACCCGTATAAAAGTGTTGGTACCACTATACTTTGGTACATTCCATTTTTGCCTCCAGTAATAAAATTTTCTTTCCACAGACACCTCATAACTTTCCTTACCCTGTTTCTCTTGTCTGTTCTATTACTCGTATCACCTTTTATAATAAAGATTCTATACTAACACATCCATTCCTAAATACAGTGGAACCTCTGCTTACGAGTGCCCTACCTTAAGAGTTTTTCAGGATATGAGCTATCGCTCAGTTGACTTTTGCTCCTGGATACGAGCCAAAATTCAGGTTGTGAGTTTCCCCCCTCAAGGGAAGTTCCTTGACGCTCGTTAGGGGCTCTTGATCTAGGGAATTGTATTTGTGCTCCAGTTCCCTAAATTAAGCCTGAATACCTTCCATCCCCTCCCCCCCACAGGCACTGTATAATCCTATGGGTTTAGTGCTTCTCCATTATAATAATAATATACTAATAATACATACAATAATAATAAAGTAATAATACTATAATAACAAGTGAGCTTCAGAACACTGCCACTAGATGGCAGTGAATACTACAACACTCACCATCACCAGTGGACATGCTTACCTCGTGGTGGAAGGACAAATTTCTTTTTTCTAACCATGGGTCCTAAGAAAGTAAGTGCAAAAGGACAGTGCTGAGAAGAAAGAGAGGATGATGTCCATGGAAGTAAAGCATGAAATTGAAGTACAGTGGTCCCTCAATTATCGTCCTTAATCCGTTCCTAGAAGTGGGACTATTATTGAAATAGACGATTTTTGAATCAATTTTCCCCATAAGAAATAATGTAAATACAATTAATCTGTTCCTGACACCCAGAAGTATTCAAATAAAATTTTTTTTACATGAAATATAGATGTAGTACATAAACAATACAATGGGACATGATGAATGAAACATTAACAGCATAACACTTACCTTTATTGGCAATTCTTCTTGGTGTATGGAAGACTGGAGGAGGAGAGATTGAATTACTGTTTGGAAGGGGAATCCCCTTCCATCAGCACCTCAGGTACCAAGTGCTTTTCTGGGGTTACTTCTCTTCTCTGTTTCTTAATGCCACTAGGACCACCTTGAGAGTCACTGGAGTCCTGTCTCGCAAAAAAACTGTCCAGAGAGCTCTGTTTCTGACGTCTCTTTAAAACTTCCCTAAAATGGGCCAAGACTCTGTCACTGTACAAGTTGCTGATATGGCTTGCAACATCCTTCTCAGGGTGATGTTTCTCCATAAATCTTTCCATCCTACCCCACATTTCAAAAATCTGCTTAATTTCTGAAGGCACCTTCTTCCATCTTTCTTCCTCCTCCTCTGCAGCAAGATTCTGAGCTGTGATCTGTTGCTGTTCCTGCTGAAGCTCTTGCAGCTCCTCAGTGGTTAGCTCTTCGTTGTGGTCCTCCACCAACTCTTCCACATCCTCCAAACTCACATCCAACCCCATGGAACTCCCCAATGCCACAATAGATTTCACAACTGACATAGGCTCATCAGGGTCAGCCACAAACCCTTCAAAATCCCTCTTGTGGACACAATATGGCCACAATTTTCTCCAAGCAACAACAGCTTCCTTGATTTCCTTTTTCTTTGCCACGATGGAAGATATGGTTGTATGGGGTTTGTTATACATCCTGGCCAGTTTGGCCACACGTACGCCACTTTCATATTGTTCAATGATGGTTTTCTTAAATTCAATCGTATTTCTCACCTTCTTTACCAAAGGCTTGGCACTAGGAGCTATCTTTGGAGCCATGGTAGCTTATTTAGCACTTGCAAGCACTAAAATGAATGGAATATTATGAAATATTTCGTATGAACACGTGAGGGGACCGTCGCTCACTGGTAAACAATGGCACACTGGCTGGGAAGGAAGGCAGAGGTGGCTCAGAGCCGTGAGTACGCATCCAGGATGAAGGACGATTAGTGAGTTAACGGACCATTTGTGAGCCAATGTTTAGACGAAATAACTCGACGATTTCCGAAATGGACGACTTTCAGGCTGGACGATTATTGAGAGACCACTGTATTTTGTCCTGCCTCCTGAGAGCAGGAATTCCGCTGGAACGGACTAACGGCATTTCAATTAATTTAAATGAGGAAAATTGACTCAGCACATGAGCATATCAGGTTACGAACTAGGTCACAGAACGGATTCAACTCATAAGCAGAGGTTCCATGGATCTAAATACATTTACTGCCTCCTTTCTATCTAATGTCTAATCTTTGGTTGCCTAGAATTTTATATCTTTATTTCATTACCTTGCACTTTTCTATACTATTCACTTTCATTTGAAATGTAATGTCTATACACTTATGATGATACACTTGCTGAATTAAAAGAAGGAGAATGTGTTTTCTTCTTCCACCCACCAAGATGGAAAAAGTGTAAAAACAATCTTACCAGCATTCTGACATTCATTTCTTTTACAGTGCCATTTATAAATATATTAAGTAACTACAGTGACATAATACTTCCCTTTCTAAAACAGCAAATTAAAACACAAAAGAGATATATGACAGGACTCCAGTAAATAACAAATGCTGACCTCAGCCCAAGAATCACAGCCATCTACCTCTCATGAGCCACAGCCATGCACCTCATTCAATGAACCACAGTTATCCACCTCAGCCCAAAATCCACAGTCATCCACCTGAGCTCATTGGGCCTCAGCAACCCTCTCCACCAATGTCAGGGTCAACATGCAATAATAACCAAAATTGAAGGTGCAGTCGAAAAGCTTTGTTTGATGCAACTTATTTAGTTACATGTACTCTTGTCTGACTGTCTACATCAGAATTTAAGGTAAGAAAATTTCTTTTACTACCTTTAGCTATATGTACAGTCATACTATTGACTTCATTCGGTTATCCTTGGTTAAATCTATACAATGTACTTTTTATGTGGCCATAACAACGGTATACCCTAAGACACGCTTGAGAAACAACAAGCATTAACATCCACAACTTAAAACATCAAGAAGTGCTATTTTAACCCTTTGAGGGTTTCAGACGTACTAGTACGGCTTACGTGCAGGGTTTTTTGATGTACTAGTACGCATAAATTCTAGCGCTGTCAAATCTCGCGCGAAAAGGCTGGTAGGCCTAGATGTGAGAGAATGGGTCTGTGTGATCGGTGTGCGTGGTAGAAAAAAATCTGGGACCCAGTGGTGCATTGTGGGAACGCCATCTTAGTAAACAATGTCCACAATGCCTCGTGGTAAGAAGCTCCTCACTCCTTGGCGAATTGGGACACTTTTGTTCCCCAGTGACAGTTCTAATACAGATGGAAGTGCCAGTGAAGGTTGAGTTTCAAGGTTTTGGTGAGGTTTCGACCGAAACTAATGACCATAATATCGATAATAGTGAAGAAAACCCAGACGACCCTCAGCCTTCCACCTCTGGTGCTGGGCCGTCTTGTTCACGTTCAGTTGTACCAGAATCTAAGAGGAAACTCCTATTTTCCCAAATCCCAGACTCAGATGAGAGCATTTTTGATGATAGTGATAGTGAATATGAACTACAAGCTCTTCAAACTAGTTCCAGTAGTGATAGTGAAGTGCAATATTCCCCAGTGAAGCGTCAGTATATACGACGATATATGCGCTCTGGTAGTGTGCCATATGCTATTCCAAGGGGAAGGAGTACATCTCGGAGTACATCCCGTGGCTGTACAACAGGAACAGAGTGAAAATGATGATGATACTGTTGCAATTGGGATGGAAAATGTGCGTGGTGGTGGTGGTGCCGGCCGTGAGGCACCAGCAGTGGGCCATGCTGCCACCCACGCTGCCACCCATGCTGCTGCCTCAGCTGATCTACAACAAAAGCCACCATCCCCCACCCACCCACCACACCAGCCTCCACAACCACAACCTCCACAACCACAACCACCTGTCATTGTCCAGTACCCACCAGCAGACCGCACCTGGGATTGGCAGGAAGCTGTCAATTTTGTTCCAAATCCCCACCAGTTTGATGACAGCCGAAGTGGAATACGGCCATCTTGTACACTTGGGAACAATGCCACTGAATTGGAATGTTTTGAGTTATTCTTTGACGAACCCCTGATGGAAAGCATTGTCATGGAAAGCAACACATACTACGAGTACACCATGGCAAACACGTTACTTTCATCAAAATCATGTCTACACCAGTGGAAGGAGGCAACTGTGGCTGAGATGTATCTTTTCTTTGCCACAATAATGCTTATGCCACATGTTTATAAGCACAAAGTGAAATCATACTGGTCAATAGACCGCCTGATTGCAACCCCAGGTTTCAGTGATATAATGCCAGTGAATCGATTTGTGCTAATGTTACGTATGCTTCACTTCTCAGACAAAACCAGGCCTGACAGAAACGACAGGTTATATAAGATTAGGAATGTGTTTGTGTATCTGAAAGAGAAATTCAGTACGCATTTTTATCCCTTCAGGAAGCTTGTAATTGACGAGTCTTTGATTCTGTTCAAAGGAAGACTCTCTTTCAAGCAATACATACCAAGCAAGAGGAAACGCTTTGGTATAAAATTGTTTGTGCTTTGTGATTGTTACAGTGGTCTGGTATTGGATATTATTGTGTACACTGGAAGTTATACATTGCAAAATACCAGGAAGTTATTGGGTATCTCTAGTGATGTGGTTAAAACAATGATAGAACCATACCTTGGTAAGGGGCATATATTATATACAGATAACTGGTACACAAGCCCCTCACTCAGTGATTTTTTGCGAGTGAACATGACAGATATGTGTGGCACAGTGCGTGCAAATCGGAAACATATGCCCAGGTTTGACGCTGGCACTCGTAGAGGTGAGGTGCAGGCGTTTGCTGCCAATGACATCATGGCATTTCGGTGGCATGACAAACGAGATGTCACACTGTTGTC